CTCGTAGCACCTTATCATTTCCGGGCTCAACGATTTGCTCAAGAATGAACACTCAAGGGATTTTTTCTTTCGTACTAGTCCCATCTGAATCTAAAAGTGCAACACCGTCGAAATGTCCAATGTTTCACTTTTTTCACTTTGACCCAATTTGGAATCATAAATTAAGTGAAAAAAGTGGAATATGTACACAGTGGAACTGCCTATCCAAGTGTGGACGATCATTTCCTTGCTCCATATCATCGGTTAAAATCTTGTTTCATCCTGCGGTTTCTTTCATCAACAGAGGGTTTTGAGCACGGTCGGATGGAGTCGAAAGGCATTTTGAGCTTCCGGTATATCAGCCTTTGCTGGGAAACTCCATCCAGCGCTTGCGGATTCGGTGTTGAGAGGTAGAGGAAATTGAATCGGTCAACTATCTCCTCTATAGGTCCCTCCGCCTTTAACTTGGAGAGCTCGCTTGGATATATCGACAAACCTTTCCTGGCCATTCGACTGTGGGTGAAACGGCGGTGAGCGTATGTGTTGGACTGCGCACTGCTTGCAAACTCCCTATAAGTTGCCGAAATGAATTGCGTGTCGTTGTCAGTTGCAATTGTCTCTGGACAGCGGAATCTGCTGAAAATTTGGCGCAATCTTGTTACAGTAGCATTGGTGGTTGTGCTATCCATGAGAAATACTTCAGGTCACTTACTGTACGAGTCGATGAAGAAACCTGCCGTTGATCAGTCTTGTGAAGTCAACATAGATGCGACACCATGGTTTAGTTGCTTTTGGGCATAAATGGAGCTCCGCTTTTTGTGGCGTTTTTAAGACATCGGCGCACTTTTGCCAGTATTTAGCCAATTCTTCTAGCTGTTTGTCCATGAAGCGTCAGTATACACAGCTGCGGCCAAGCGCCTTCATCCGATTGATCCCAGGACGCCCGGCATGGAACTGCCGAATAACGCGCTCCTGAAGGGCCTTGGGGATGACCACTCTCCGGAAATAGTATACAGTCATTCACAGTAGAGAGCGAATGTCTCCTCTGGTAGTACTGTTGCAACTCTACAGATGAACATGAACGTGGCCACGTTTTTTTTATGGAACTGTGTGCTTTTCTTGAGTACTGGATCTGGAAGCCTTTCTGTTCGTACAACTTCCGCGTTAACTGGTAGATCGTGCAATGCGTCACTCACCAGTTAGTTGACGTAAGATTCGATCTCGACCGAGGCAATGATTGTGTCCTCATGTTCTTGCTGGTGGACATCAATTAGGCGTGACAATGCATCTGCTTGGTCAGTGAAACTTGTTTAAATCATACCCCATTAAGGTAAGAGCCCAACGTTGTAGCCGGTTGGCTGTGTAGGCCGCGATGCTCTTTCTTGAACCAAAGATAGCCAGCAAGGGCTTGTTATCTGTTAGAAGCTTGAAGAGGCGGCCGTACAGAATTTTGTGGACTTTCTTGACCGCGAACATTATGGCCAATGCTTCTTTCTCCATCTGGCTGTAATTTCTCTCGGCCTGCTTAAGTGTCCTGGCGGCATGCGCGATTGCTTTCTGGGATCCATCGGAGTACGTGTGTGAAACTACTGCACCAATTCCATGGCTTGATATATCAGGGGCTAAGACAATTTCTTTAGAGGGATCAACATGAGTCAAAAGCAAGTTTGAGGATCACTATGTCTTGACCCGATCGAAGGCATTCTGATGTCCAGTTCCATGTTTGGCCTTTAGCTAGTAGCTTGTTTAACGGGGCACGCAGGCGGTGCATCTCAGGCAAGAATGCGCTGTAGTGACTGATGAGCCCACAAAAGGAACGCAAGGACTTTAGATCTGTTGGTGGAGGTATTTTTCTAATGGTTTCTACGTTTACCGGATCTGGTCGAGGTCCATCCTTTCCAAGGATAAAGCCAAGGTATTTGATGATCGGCTTGAAAGATGTGCATTTTTCCTCACGGATTCGGAAACTGTACGACTGTATACAATTGAGCACTTCATGCAGTCGGTTAACTAGCTCTTCTGGTGTTCGACCCATCACTATGCTTTCATCCAGATATGCAGGGGCTCCAAAAACGCCCGATAGCATTGTATCCACCAACTGTTGAAAAATGGCTGGCTCAGTTTTAACACCAAAGGGCAAAGGGTTGTATTGGTATAACCCACGATTAGTGTTGACCGTGAACAACTCCCTCGAGTCTTGGGCAACATCCATTTAAATGTAGGCAACGGAAAGATTAAGCTTAGCAAAACAGTTGCCACCATTCAGTTCTCCTACTGGTAATGGGTACTGGTGGTCGTCCAGCGTGGCGCTAAGTCCAGTTGAGAAGTCAGCGCAGACGCGTGCCTTTCCTTTTCACCGTGACAATAAGTGCGGCCTATGATGAGTAGTTGACAGCTGTGATGACTCCGGCTCGTTCCGGTCGATCGAGTTCTTGATCAACGGTTGACATAGTTGTATATGGTACCGGTCTTTTAGCCTTAATGACTGGTTTGGCTCCTGGTGTCAGGCTCAACGTTGCCTTGTATTTCGTACAAGGCCCAAGCCGTCATGAAAGACAGGGGCAAATTTTCACTTCAGCGGTGTCATATCTTCGACGGACTTTGATCCTGGGTCCGGATTTGCTGGGACTCGATTGCAGATCTAATGCAAAGGAACATCAAGGAGCTGCAATTTTTCAAACCAGTCGAGACTAAGACAATTCACATTCGGCCGGTCTGAAATGTAGCATGTTCCCGACTCTTCCACACCTTTAAACGCAATCTTGCAAGTAAGTTCGCCCATCAATTTTAGCACACCACCGGATGCATTGTGAGAAACTTTGTGAGACTTGACCATATTTGGCCTCCTTGTGTGATTCCATGTGTTCCTGCAAATAATCTTGATGTCCGAGACCGTGTCGAATTGCAGTTTTGTTGGGATCCCATTAATCAAAACGCTGATAAATCGTCGTCTCGGTTTACAGTCACTTTGGAATGCGGCAGCTATCGACAGAGACTGCGCCACCCTTTCTAGAATTCCTGTTTCGAAAAGACCACATTCTTCGACCGGACCTGACCAGGATTCCTCCTTACGGCCTTGCTTATGGCACGTTTCACAAATATGACGTTTGTACGGGCAAAAACTTGTGCAATGCCATTCGCCGCATGACCAGTATGCTGTTCGGTGTGTTCGTAGACATTTTGAACGGTTTGCTTGGGCTGTCAGTCCTGGCCTTTTTCACGGAGTGCACGGTATCGGGTGGTGTGAGACCATCCTGTTCGACTAGGGCAGTGTCGTGTTACAGTGTGAGAAGCCGTTTGCATTCGCTTACGAGGGCCTTCCGTGTCAGATCGGGATCCTGATCCAGCTTGGCTAAAAGCCGCGTGCGGATCTCAGTATCCCTGGGGAACTGTAGAGAGCTGACGAAAATAAGACATCTAAACTGATCGTCTGTTAAAGAGCGTAGCTTGAAACGCTCACTCTCACGGTTACTCATGTCTGTTAGGTCTCCAAATTAGTCCGGAACGTCTTCCCAACGCTTGAACCACGTTTCCAATTTGCATTCAGGATCTGCGTCGTGAGAAGATCAACGGAATTCGCCTGCGTGTCCCGCATCGCTGCTCCTGTTGACTGCAGACTCAAGCATTGTGTCAAATTTTCGATCCTTTTCATTTGTGCCTTCATTTGTGATTGCTGTTGAAAAAAACAGCTTTTGAAATTGTTCAACAGAAAAAACTATCACATTTCTACTTTTCTCCATCGCTATTTGTTATACTATTATTTGCTGATTACTCTAGCCCCTGTGATGTTTCGAATAACTCTAGAGGTTCCATGGCAATTCAAAGTACTTTGTGTACGCTCCGGAGTTGGTCAGCCTTATGTTTGTGACCTACGGGATAGGCATTACCTTTTGCTCACCCTGGAGCAGCTAGTCCTCTCATGGGCTATGTTGTTGGTAGAAGTGAATCCCAGGTTCTCACTTAATAGATTGATCCACATGTCACACTATTCACCCCTTCACCCTTTTGACGGTTGGACAAGGTTTATTGTAGAAGGTATTGTATGATGTAGTTCATTCGCCATTCCTCCAACGATCAACATGTTTGTGGAGCCGTACCTAAGTACTGTGTCCAGACTTGCGCACACGTCTTGTCCGGGACAGAATGGAACTAGGGTATCATGTTTCTATTATCACCACGAATAACCGATTCACCTCTCCGGATCATAGGCCAGTCACTTTCCAAATCATATGAAAAAGGCCTCGCAAAGAGCCTTCAGCTGAGTCCAGAAAATACCGAGTTGTTAGCAGTCAAAATATTTTTGATTTTGTAGTTCAGTAAAAGTGACCCAAAAATTTTTCATGCTGAGAAACTACCGGAAGCGGAAAAGTGCTGCCGTGGACTAGCTCCAAGCCAATGATCGAGGTAGGTTGGTCCGAACTACTGCTGTGGCTGCCCGCATGCAACTATACTTGAGGAGCTAGCCGCTTCTATCGACAGCGTTTCTTAACAAGGGAGCGTTTTACGATTAATGGCTCGGTTGGAGCAGAATTCGCGGAGACAGACATCCCGGAAGGTTGCTTGGTTTGTGTATGTACCCAACGCACTATCGCAAAATTCGAGGAGGCTTGATCCTCATTTGCCTTGTGTTGGCTGGGAATGCCGGCTTTGATCTTTCGTGTCTACCTTCGAAATCACCATGTGAAGTTGCGCAAACTCTGCTCTGATCGGATTATGATAGAAACTCGTTTGTCACGCCGTCCTAAGCACTGGAAGTTTCTTCGAGAGCACGTCAGAAAATCGACGGTCGAAGGTTTTGGGCATCAGCCAGGTGCTCTTTTCTGGCAATACCAAATTTTCCCCTAACGGACTAGCATCTCCAGCTTTCAAATCTTTTCCAATTCTGCTCATGGCATTATTACTAACTAAGGCTGCTCTTCTTACCTTCTGTTCATTTTTCTATTTCTTCACTTACTTTGCTCATCGTGTACGGCTGTGGTAATCAATTGACCAAAATGTGACGTAATTTGTTTTTTGCCCTAGATTCATAAAGATTTTATATCTTGACAAATCCTGGTTCAACGATCGCTGAGGAAGGAATACCCGCTAGATTATCCTACCATTCTGGTCCCTATCTAAATTGAATTCGGCTTTCAGGATGTCACCGCCTGCTGGCGACGTTGTTGAGGCGGCAGAGAAAAAATGTCAAGTCGTTGATGATCAGCTACACGTGATGATTAAAAACGAACAGTTCCTGTGTGACTTAATCCCGAACGAGCTTCGCAGCTGTGGTGATTTCGTTCCTTCTGTAAAATCTGTTGACAACACTCTGTCGTTGCATTTCGGCCAGGTGAGCGTCCGTCCCACTTGGTCATGATTTTCTACAATCCCATCTAACTTCTACGCAGCTTAATCTAGTTAACCACTTCCGCGTACCTAGCGTATCAATGCCCGTGTCTGGTTTTAATCCTTTTCACTTTGTATGCTTAAACATCCGCTTGCAGTATAATAGAAATCTTTTAAATTGACGTTGACGGAATTCATTTGTCCGAATTACAACCTGCTTGCTCCGGTTTGAATCTATCTCTTGTCTTTTCGTGCACCGTGGCAATATCGCAGCTCTCATACTGCCATTTGCTTTTACACTTCACAGAAATCTTATTAAAAATTGCTAATGGGCTGCGGATGCCTATTTCAGGTACATCTACATTTCTAGCAAGCAACGCTTCCCCGTCAGCACAGAACCATGAAAACACAAATGTAAAATTATATTCCCTTTTTGTACACTTGCAGAGCGTATTGGCGAGCTTGATAGCTAGCTCCCGTGGTGCTGTCACCTCTCCGCAAAGTGATAGAAGCGGTGACTGAGCGTGGAGTTACTGAGAGCTTTAGCTTGGTTGCTGTCTCACGATAGTTTGTGTCGATTTTAAAGGTGAGCTTGCCTTGTCCACTTAGGAAGTCGACGTTCTTTTTGCTGTAGCCCCTACTTCCCCTTGCTCTCCTATCAGGTCACATGAACTCATAGTCCACTAATGCGTTATGCGGGTTACGAGAGTTACCTAAGTAGCATTGTTGACGGTAAACAAGCGAATTGAAATACTTTATGCGCCCTATTCATCAACTCAGATGAACTTTAACTCCAAACCGATTGTTTACCGAAAGTGGTCACTTGCTGCTTTTGCAAACTCAGATTACGTTTGGTCACATAATTTTTAAAGTACAAATCAGATTTCAGTTCACTTAGTTAATCAACAACTGCTTACATTCCGAACTATGATGGATTGCTCTCTTGACCCTAGTTCCATCTATTGCACTATGCTCAAATTCACCAACTCCTCATAAACCTACGATTTCGGACAAGAGCCATCCTGCGATATTTGGTTGTTTTTCGCTTCATTTCATGTTTGTTACTTAGAGCATCGGATTCCTGTTAGTTCTTTCACTCACCATTCTTATTAGTTTGAGCAACTTCGGATCGCTGATGTAAGCTAAACGGCGGCGTATTGTTCCAAGTATTTAGCTTGTACTCAACGAACCACCGGTTCAGACCCGCGTAGATGCGGCCGCTTCCACCGTATCCCAGCCCGCACCCACCCACTGCTGGTTACGTGGTGATGGAACAACAATAAGTGGTCCCGACGTACTACAGCTTCTACTTCTTTTAGTAGACCCGACCTACCTAACACATGATTGGGATACTGCAGCCCCCTTAACTTTATTTTTCTCGTGAAAGACATACGTTTTTCACATATTGGCATGTTTCGATATGCGAACAAGGAACGATCCAAACGCACACGCAGCGGAGCATTTGGTTGTTTTATTAGCAGCTTCTTCACTGTTTGTACGGCTCTCTCCGCCGACCCATTAGAAGAAGGATGATAGGGTTCAGTTGTTATGTGTTTAATGCCATTGAAGTTGAGGAAGGTAGAAAACTCAACACTGGCGTATGCTGGTCCATTGCCAGATACTTATGTCTCGGGAAGGCCAAATGTTGCGAACATTGTGCGTAGTTTCTCTATAGTACTAGCTGTATTTTCTGAAACAAGAATATGGGCATCAATCCATTTAGAATGGGCATCGATGATTAGCAAAATCATCCGACCTTCGTAGGGACCGAAATAGTCTACGTGGACTCGTTTCCAGGGTGTTTCTGGCCACTTCCAAGGCTGCATTGGCGCATGGGGAGCGGCGTTTCGGGTCTCCTGGCAAGGTCTGCAACTTCCAACCTTCGCCACAATATCACGGTCTAATTCAGGTCACCACACATAAAATCGAGCTAACGACTTCGTCTTTGCGACACCTGGATGCGCATCATGTAGTTCGTCAAGGATACGTGACCGAAATTTCTTGGGGACAATAACTCGTGCGCCCCACAGCAAGCATCCATTCTGGAGGCTGAGTTCAGACATCCTGTTACGGAAGGGCATGAGTTCTTTGGGGGTGTTGTCCGGCCACCCAACTTGGACATAGCGTTTGACCAGCGATAGAACAGGGTCTCTGTCAGTTTCCTGACGTATGTCTGTACATGTGACTGGGGAATCATTAAAATGCTGGACCAGGTTTACGAGCTCTTGTGGGATAAATTCTTTCGATGGTGTCTCTGGTAAGGGAAGCCGGCTAAGAACATCAGCGGTGGTATTCTGTTTGCCTGGAACGTACTGAATTTCGTATGTATACGCAGAAAGAATAAGCGACCAACGTACCATTCTAGGTGAAGCCATTTGTTGAATACCTTTCTCGTGGCCGAGGAGGAAAACAAGAGGTTTATGATCCGTATGGATCACGAAAATGCGCCCGAGTAAATATTGGTGAAATCGAGTGGTGCCGAAGATGACAGCGGCTGCCTCTCGATCAAGTTGAGAGTAGTTCCGTTCTGCTGGTGTCAGGGTTCTTGAAGCATAAGCAATGGGACGTTGAGAGCCATTCGGTAATTTGTGCATTAAAACAGCTCCGAGACCGTAAGGTGAGGCGTCACAAGAAAGAACAACAGGCTTCTGCGGATCATAATGCACAAGAACATCTGTAGATGCTAAGAGCTTCTTGACCGCTTTGAATGCATTTTCATGAGTATTGTTCCAATTCCAGCTTTGGTTTTTACGTAGCAGCTGGTGAAGCGGATGCAGATGAGTTGCTGCCGATGGTATAAACCTGGAAAACTGAGTGACAACACCGAGGAACGACCGCAATTCATGAACATTTTTGGGTGCTGGCGCCTCAAGTAGCGCCTTTGTCTTTTCTTCCAGTGGGCACAATCCTTCACGTGACAACCGATAGCCAAGATACTGTACACTCGGAACAAGGAACTCACACTTTTCTCTTTTAGAACCAAACCGGCATCCGATAATCGCTTCAGGACGACGTCCAATGTATGTAAGTGCTCGGCGGTAGTTCGTCCAGTAATTAAAATGTCATCTAAGTACGCACATGTGTTTGGTATATCTTTCACGAGTGAGTCAATAATACGTTGAAAAATAGATGGAGCCGAGCTTATTCCAAAAGGCATGCGTATATAGCGGAATAATCCGAGATGAGTACTAATGGTGGTGTACGTGCGTGATTCCTCATCGAGTTCAATTTGTTGGTAGGCATGACTCAGATCTAGTTTTGTAAATAGATCACCACAGGAAAGGGAAGCGTAAATGTCTTCAATCTTTGGTAGCGGATATCGGTCTAATTCTAACGCTTGGTTTATCGTAACCTTGTAATCCCCGCAGATTCTTATCGTACCATCGCTCTTCAATACTGGCACAATGGGGGCTGCCCAGTCTGAATACTGGACGGGTTCAACGGTACCTTCCAACTGAAGTCGGCGCAGTTCACTTTCGACCTTATCACGGAGGGCATAGGGAACAGTGCGAGCTTTCCAGAACCGCGGTTTTGTCTGTGGTTTCAATACCAGATGTGCACTGTAATTCTTTAAAAGTCCTGATCTCGACTGATCAAATAAGACTGCATGCTTCTGCAAAATCTCGGATAACTGCGGATTGTCTTTCACCAGGTTGACGTTCGACATTATGCCAGGAAGGCGCTTAATTCCATCGCGGCCCAGGATGTTCGGACCCGGTCCTCCAGAAACGTACACACACATATGACTCGTTGAATTACGGTAAGAAATGCGTGCATTGAAGGTACCAAGCACATTCACCATCTGTCCCGTGTAAGATCGCAACTGTATGTTCGGTGGACACAGCTTTGGAAGTTGGGATAAGGCGTCTGGTCGGATCAAAGTGACTGCGGAACCGGTATCAATTTCAAACTCTACCGGTTGTTCGTTTACTTGGACGGATACGACAAACGGTTTTTCTGCTGTAATGGTGCGATTAAAAACGGTTGTGGTGTTAATCCAATTCTGGTGCAATTCATCGGTAATGCAGTTTGTAGCCTTAGATTGTTCCTGGACGAGTGATTTCCGCTTGGAGAGACACACTTTCTGAATATGACCCATTTTTCCACAAAATCTGCATAATGAATGAATGTGCGGACAGTCAGTCGGGGACAAGTGATTCTCCCCGCAACGGTAACAACGGAATTCCTTGCGCTGTACGGGGCGAGGTAAGGCATGTCCACGGTTAGTCTGGTAGACCTTGTTTACGTCATGTGAGATTGATTGATTTGAAGAGGGAAATGTGGCTAGTTCCTGGACGAGGTTGGCACGCTGTCGGACTATATCACATGCTTTTTCCCACGTCAGTAGCGTTTCATCTTCAGAGAGCAGACGTTCTCGTGCCTTCTCATCGAAAACACCCACGATTAATGCCTGTAACAGCATCGCTTCTTCGAACTGGGCTGGAAGGATCTGATCATAGGCGCAGTCAGGGAGAGCAGTAAGGAGACGAGAGATAAACTCATTTACAGTCTCATTTGGCTGTTGTCGCATGGTGCTGAATTTATACCGAGCAGTAAACACATGGGGCTTTTCCCCCCATATTCGGTCCAGGGAATAGAACACAGTTTTTAGGTCTCGCTTCGTATGTAATTGTAAACTGTCGAAATGTCGCTGGCCCTCGATGCCGAGATGGTGGCGTAGTAATTTAATTTTCGCTGCATCATCAATCGTGCAATTTCCGCCAAGGAGCAAAAGCAAATCAACGTAGTTAGTAAATGTAGTTTTCCACTGCAACCATTGTTGCGCAGTAGGCCTTTCAGTAGAAGAATTCCAAAAGGGTTGGGGTGCCGTTATTGAATTTGCCATGAGCAATCAGAATAACCTCCGTCGCCAAATTGTTACACTCAACCGAAATCAGAACAACAGTATTGCAAATGGAAGTTTAGTAGAAGCAATGGCAATAGTACATCGGCAGTCCACACTGGGTACAGATCAACTGTTTAGTTTTACGCAGTTCACATGTT